CAAGAAATAACTTTCAGTAAGCTTTCCGGAGCAGGGGGATCGAATGTAGTAATAGGAATGAACCTGTTCTAGATTTTTTTTCATCCCYATTGTTGTGCATTTTTTTCGATTCCATACCATTGCTGAATTCGGTGATAAGTTCGTATCCGCATATTCGGTGGCTTATTTAACCACGAAGTGTTCAGCTTCAAATTTTATCTCCAACWTTTCAATGAGGCGGTTCTTGTTTGCAGGAATTTACTTTGAGATACAGCTGGCATCATTGTTTCGTCGAAAAGTATGTCTACTGAACTACTACTACTTGGTACTACGGGCTGCTACATCTTCTAGATATCCGTCAAATACTCTAATGGCATTGAAGGTATAGTGCGATTGGACGTAAGCAATGTATTTATTGCAAATAGATGAAAATGATTCGCCCTGTTGCCAAACGACTCGATGTAATAAGTATCAATTCCCATGACAGCCGGTTCTACTCACCGGAATTGACTCAGATTTTATCCGACCTAGGGGAGTTTTTTTCGGCGGTCTAACCCCGTTTGGATCGATGTATATCGTATTTTCAAAATTGATATCGCCAGAATGGTGGTCAAATGCCTGATACATACTTGAGAAGTTGTACCATCACTTCCTCTACGCAAAGCTGCAGCGATTAACTTCTCATTATTATATCGATTTCGACACGCATCGTGAACCACAATACTATAGATTTTAATCCCACCAAAAGTTTGTATTTATTGTCTTTTCTTTTTATACTTGACTGACGAAAAGTTTCCAATCCTTTTTTATTCCCTTCACTATCTTCACTTTCTTGCAGTATATTACCACAAATAAAGCAGTTTACTTTATTAGAAGCCATGGTTCTGTAAATGCAAACGAAACTGTTAAATGATAAACGTTTACTGATGACTCAAACTAAATATGTATTTCTATTGAGCTCAGCTGGGACCAGATGTTTCGTAGAAAGGAAAGAAGGGGCCTGACACAGAAGGGACGCATTCCTTTATACCTGCGGGGACATAACAGACTAGCTAGACATGGTAGACTAGTTAGTTATGTTTTCCTTCTTTGGAACAATATTTAACCTTCATATAATTTTTATAATTTATAAATCACAATATGAGCAGTTTAAAGTAAATATTACACGTTGGTGTGGATGTACAATGGTTTACGGTGCTCGTACGCAAAACTATTGATTTTAGGAAAGAAAAGGTTAAGACATAAATTGTAGGAAATTTCCTCTACTTTTAATTTGTATAGATATGTTTTACCTGCAAAATGAGCAGGAAAGGAGTTATTATCAAGGTGCTTTTGGGCACTATTTTTTCAATATGGCGGCGCGAGCGGCAAACATACGAGGTGGAAAAGTTGAAATTTGGCAAGAGCATACCAAAATCCATAAAATTTCGGAAAACTTCCAGGTAACCTCTATTTTTTCGACCAAATGACTGTACTATTACAATTTAATTACAATATCCGTGTGCTTTTTGTTTCAATATGCGTATGTATGTACTTACATATGGTATACCTTAGTGAAATAGCTATAGGTTCAAAAAAATTTCTTTAGGTTTTTTATTTCCATATAACAGAATATTTTTTAATATACAGTTTTCTTTGTTTGTATTTTGTGTTCATTTGCATTTTTACATGCCCTCACAGAAATCACCACCATCGCTATTTTTTTCGCTAGGGTTTTGATATTTGTGAAGTTTTCATTATGCTGCCGTGAACAGCTCGAATGCTTACAGTTTCCTCACAAATAATAGAAGGGTGGAACTATTCTTTCAAAGGCGTTAACTATTATAAATATAAGTATTCGTCTATTACAATAAATATATATGTATATATCTTACGGTTTTGTACGTTTAACTTCCTCCTAAGTATGAATAAAACACATACATATGTACATATGTATGTTTAAGTAATTCGTACAAAATTTTATTTGTAAATATGCATGTATGAATGTATTTAATACAACAACAAATTTAATAGGTTTGTAAAATTACTAAATTTTCTTGGGCGTTCATTTCTTAATATTGCTTTGTTTSTTTTTATAAAATATCATATTCACAGCAACGTGCTTTTCACCTCATTGTAAGGTTATGTAAGAATAACCTCACAACAAATCTAACAAATTTTTCCTTACAAATTAGATGCGGTTTCCTCAGAATATAGTTAAAAATGAGTAAATAATGTGCAGGTATCTTTTAACAAAATATCTTTCAAAAATGCGTTTTTGCATAATCATGCATTTATCAATTGACCAAAATTTGTTTAAATTGCTTTAAATTTAACATTCCTGATATTAACAAATATATCTTATGCTCTTCGATATACTTTTTATAAACATAATACTTTAAGGTTGGTATCCAGCGCTCAAGCAATTGCTCAAGAAAAAAAAAATACATTATTCCTCAAGTAGTTTTGACAGCTGCTTACGCATTGTGAATGATCCACGTTAGAAGAGCATGAGAGAATAAACAAAGAAACTAAACTTTGTGCATATTATGTACGTATGTATGTGTGAAGTAATACAAATATTTTCATTGCGATTTAAAGAATGTTGTAGATGATTGGTAAGTTTTATACATTATTTCTAAATGAAATATACTTCAAAATAATGAATTTAACTAATTTACGATGAATTTAACGATTACTCTGAATTTCATTCAAGAAACAATTGTTGATTTGATGTTTCTTGGCAAAACCAGGCTTCGCATTTTATTGAAAAAAAGTATTAAAAATTAGTAGTAGATTATTTAGAGCTGCATACTAGCACAAGTAAATTTTTCGCAGGAAAGTTTCTTGACCGTTTCTTAAGCGTTTTTTTATATGAAGTTTTTAAATTTCTTGAGAGCTGGATACTAAGCTTTAAGAAAGATACCATAAATAAAAAACAGTGTTGAGATATAACATAAAAAACACATCGCACGTATGGTATTGGATATTTAACAGACACCTAAGGGACATACAGTCACTCACAGCTTATTTGATGCAGATAGAATTTTTTTGTGTGTTCTATATTTCTTCAAATTTTGCAAAAGAGAAAAAACTGAGTATACATACATCTTATTTGTTTTGTTCTAATTAGTTCCTCAACAAAAAAATACAAAAACTGTCCAGTCGTTTCATTGTAATAAAAAAAAAACAATAACATAACGACAATAGGTCGCCACAGCTTAAATGATGCAGTTAAAAGTACCGCTATTTTTCGTCGCGATTTGCAACAATTGGAAGTTTT